TCACACACACTGCTAAATAATTGGTTTGCAATCCACATAAGAGGCTTGCAAGGATTGGTCAGCTTGCTACCTGCCCAGGTAGTCTTGCAAGGATTTATTGCTGGTAGGCAAGGGGTGCAGAAGAGCCTGTCACTGTTACAGCCAGAGATCAGGTTCATCTGAGAAATCCCAAGTTCAGTTCTGCAAGCACTGACATAAGGAAGTAGGTTTGCTACCACTGAACTGCTTCCAAGACTCAGTCAAAATCAAGCAAGTTATATACCTTAAACTATGTGTCGGGAAACAGGCTTTACAGGAGGTAATTAACAGGTTTGACAATGATCAGCAGTGGGACTAAGGCAGCAGGGCTCACAGGAAAAATGTGTACATTGTCCCAACAGATGATCAGACTATCAGTCGTTATCTTCATTATTCTAGGGGCTATCAGACCAGTACCTCCTAAGATTTCCTCAGACCAATTACCACTAAGGTTTCAGTACCCTACCTCCCTAAGTTCTCAGGTTCCATTGCTTAACTAAGTGGTCCTACTTTCTCTTTCCTGAATTGGAAAATCCTTGCTGAATAGAATTAAATAGATTTTTGTTTTTTTACACAAAGGAGGGGCTGTTACATCCTGCATCTCCTTTAGGCATAAAGTGGATTTCTCTCCTACAGTGCTAAGTGGGTTACTTGTGGCAGTGAAGGGGACCATCTCAGTTTTATTCCTGTTGCCTATTGTTGGCTTTTAATAAATAACCTATAAATAACCATTTAAGTTTCAATTGCCAGCGTTACGGATGTGTGATGCAATCAGATTGGAGAGTGGTTTCATGATTGCCTGAACAGTGGCCCTGTCAGGTGAGCATTGGACTGCTAACTACAAAGTCCAGCCTCTCTGGCCCCAAAAGGGGAGGCTGCCTGTAAAGATTTACAGCCTCAGAAACTCTGAATAGCGTCTCTGTGAGTCAGAATCCACACAATGGCCCGTGGGTTTGGTTTTGGTTTTATATATATGTGCAGACACGTATACACGTACAGGGGCACAGTGTGGGCATCTTTGGGGTTCTGTCTCAGACAAGCAAGTGTCTCTTTCCTGAGGTGAGAGTGATCATGCTTCGAAGAAAAGACACCCCAGTTCCCATTGTTTGGCTTGCCTACGCTAACAAGTCAGGTTGCCCTCCAATCAGTTCTGACTCACACCGCCCCATGTGTGTGGGAAAAGAACTGCTCTCCACAGGGTTCTAATGGCTAGCTCTTGTCCCCCTTAGATTCCTAGCCCTGGCTTCCAGAGGAGTCTTTGGATGGCCTCAAACCTTCAATCTTTTGGTTGGCAGACAAGTGCATGAACCAGTTGTTCCACCCAAGGACGCAGCCCAAGTTCATAAAGTGCCATTATTTGAAAAGGGACTTCTTTATTGCCTGGAACCGTATCTATCCGTCCTTTGAGGACAGAACTCCAGTTTTCCCCTTCCACCCAAATGCACAGTTGCGGAGCTGTTCTTCGGTTGCTGTTCGTAGTTGCAGTTGCCATTGTTTCAGTAGAAGGAGGTTTTCAGTTAGACGTTGGGATGTCTGGCTGAGATGGCCATTTTGCCTATAAAAATGATAGCAGTTGTAATAGGGGGTGGGGGTGGAGCCTGGCCCTAGTTTTCCAGGGGCCTAGGGGTGTTCCCGGGACTTGGAATGGGCCATCTTAGCCAAACCAAGAAAAGTCAGTCAGGTGCCTGTTCTTGCTGCCTGACATACTTAACTCTCTAAAAACCAAACCAAAACAAAACAAAAAAGCCAACGACCTAGAAGTGGCCATTTCATACCCGTTTTCAAGCAAGGCGATTGAGACTCAGGCTAAAGCAAATTGTCTTTGTACAGCTAATTGGTGGCACGGCCTCGTGCGACATCCAGGCTGGTCTGGCCCCACGGCTGTCCTCCAAGCATACCGATTGTGTCCTCCAAATAGAGAGGACGACCCTCCTCTTCTGTGGCCGTGGGACAACAGATGCTCAGCCCTGGATGCATAAGCAGGCTTGGAAATTGAGACTCACCTAAATGCCTGCCTTTTTGCTTAGATTTTGCACCTAGAACAAGAGCGCAGCGCATTTTCTGTGTAGAATCTTTTAAGCCTTTGTAAAATTTTGCCAACAATTCTCAAGGAAAGCACACCTGTGCCCCAGACGTTCTGTGTCCGTACTGCGGCCTCTGTGACCCGCCACCAATATGTGGCCCTGCCGCCATCAGCCCGGCACATTTCAATGACGGCCCATTTGTCGAATTCAGGTTGCACCCCTCCAAGCTTTTAGATCAGAAATGGAGGGCAGAGGGAAGTGACCGCACTTTAGGAAACAGACTTGGTGCCTACTTTTGTCTCCCAGAGTTTGTTGCTTGTGAGTTTGATCAGCAGGTGTAGGGCAGGGTGGGGGAAAGGGAGAGGATGAAGTGGCAGCCATGAGCTGAAACGCTCAATAGACACCCAGAGATGTCCACTCTGAAGAGCACGGGACTTCATGAGCTCTGGGCTGTTGGGGAAAAGGCCCCCATGACAACCACTGCTAGCCATGGTTCAAACAGAGGAGCCAGGTGGCTTAAAACCTGGTTGAGCGTCCAACTGCTAACCAAATGGTGGGCAGTTCGAACCGATCCATTGGCTCTTTGGGAGAAAGGCCCGGCACGCTGCTTCCATAAAGATCCCAGCCTAGAGGACCCTCAAGTTGAAATCAGCAGTATCCAACACCACAACAGCTGGTTGTCAGAGCAAGGTTCATGTCTCGGACAAAGATGCTATGCTTATGCATTCATTTGCCAATTTCTTCAACGCTAAATTGAGGGCCTCCTGTGTTTCAGCATGGCGCTGGGCACTGGGTGCATGAAGAGGGGAACCCTGAAGTCCTAGCTCATGAATCAGCGGGTAAGGCCACCTCGACAGTCCAACTGATCCTGAAATACCTCCCAAATCAGCCATAAAATAGCATCTGGGGTCACGGAGCCCAGAAGTGGAGCCTGAGATGAGGGTTGGGGTCGAAGGAGTGAGCGCTCTGAGACGACACTTGGTTGGTGTGAGGTGGTGAGGGAAGCGGGATAGGGAAGGGGGTCAAGTTCAGCAATATGTCGTCTCAGCTGAAGAGCCATGGGCTAGCCTCAGCCTGACTCCACGGGGGAGCCTGAGAGAAGGATGGTGTCATGGGTTTGTATCCCAGGAGGCAGGCGTTGACCGAGGGTCACCTCCAGGGGTAGGATGCCACTGCTGTGGCATTTCCAGGGTGGGCGGTTTCAATCAGCAGGAAGATGCAGCTGTGCTGGATTAGCAGCGAGCACTCTCTATAGTCGGGAAGTAGAGGCAGCTGAAAGGAAGGGGCCCCGGCAGCAGCTCGTGCAAGAAGCCCACATCTCTGTGAGTGAACACCCACTGCCATCCAGTCAAGGCTGTGACCCATTGAGCTCTATAGGACAGAGCAGAACTGCTCCTTAGACTTTCTGAGACTGTCCAGAAAGTCTGGAGTGGATGGTGGGTTTGAACAACCCACCTTGCAGTTAACAGCACAGTGCTTACCCCATTGCCCTCCCGGGGCTCCTTTGGTGAATGCCTACAACCGAGCGGTTAAGTCTTCTCCAGTGGTGCCACTGACCACTCTTTCTTTCTTTCTTTCTCTCTCTCCCTCTCTTTCCTTCCTTCCTTCCTTCCTTCCTTCCTTCCTTCCTTCCTTCCTTCCTTTCTTAAAAACAGACCACCATTTCTTTGGCTATCTTATGTTCAAGGGACCAAGTTGTACAAAAACCTGTGCCAGTATCCACCCAATTCACACCCAGCAGGGTGGATGCTCCCACAGGACCTGAGGCTGGGTTTTCCGGGCAGCTGACTGCGATGTCATTGTACAGGATGATCGTTAGGAAGTGGCATATTCTATATGCCATGCTCCTCCCCAGCCCCATTATTTTAGAGACAGGTTTTGTACTAAGTAAGGGGTCTGAGTAGCACCAATGGTTAAGTGCTGGCTGACTAACTGAAAGGTTGGCATTTTGAACCTACCAAGAGGTGCCTTGGTGGTGTAGTAATTAGGCATTGGGCTGAGATCTGCATGGTTGGCAGTTTGAAACCACCAGCAGCATGGAGGGAGAAAGACTGGGCTTCCTACTCCTGAAAACGGTGACAGTCTCAGAAACCCCCAGGGTGTCATTCTGAGTCAGCGTTGACTTGAGGGCAGTGAGTTTGGCTTTTTTGAGAAGAGGTACCATGGAAGATACGTCTGGCAGTGTACTTTCAATGGATCACAGCCTTGGAAACTCTATAGAGTATTTCTACTCTTTACGTACTGGGTCGCCATGAGTCATTATCAACTCGATGACATTAACACAAGCAATAACAACATTGTCCTGGTGGCACTGTCAGGTTAAATGACTACCCTCAAGGTCACTGGTTCAAGCCCACCAGCTGCTCCTTAGGAGAAATATGAGCCTGTCTGTTCTTATAACATTTCACAGCTTCAGAAATGCTATACAGGGCCACTGGGTTGGAATGGACTTGATGACAGTGGGATTGGTTTGGGGATTTGGATCTGATACATACGTGTTATCTAACCCTTCTAATAGCCCTGTGAAGTAGGTACTATTAATATACCCCATTTTAAAGATGAAGAATGTAAGAGAGAGGTTCAAAAAATCATGCCATTGTGAAATGATAGAGCCAGTATTTGAACCAACATCTGTCTTGCTCCAAAGTTCAAACCCTTACCTGGTATACTAAAACTAACTATACTAAACACTTAACCAATCCATTCATTCCACTGTGTTTTACTGAGCATGCTCTGTGCCTAACTTGTGCAAGTTTGGTATCACAGCTTCAACAGGAACCCTGAAAGGCACATGGGTGCCTTGGGTGCTCTGCTTTCTGTTTCTGTGTGTGTGTGTGTGTGTGTGTGTGTGTGTGTGTGTGTGTGTGTGTGTGTGTGACACTATCTTGAGAGAAGAATGAATGTCGGGACCCTTGGATATCTTTGAGTATCTCAGTTCTGTTTTAACCTTTTTGACAGGCTCAGAGAGATGCCCAACGGATGTCTGGAAAAGAAGTCAACATCAGTGTTACAGACAGCACCCGACAAATGGACAGGAGTCGAAGGATCGCCAAGAACTGTGTCAACTAGCAGAGCGTTCCAGTAGAAAGAAGGGGGACTTTCTAGGGCCCTTCACAGTGCTGGATCCCGCCGAGGAACCGGGGAGAAGTGGAGGCGCCCTTGCTGAGCATGAAAGCAGCTGAGTGCCTTGAGAGAAGCCCGTCTCACCTGCCGCAGTCACCTGCACTGCCAGGACATCCCAGCCTGCTACTTGTCGCATACATGCATTGGCGCATTGCCTACCCGTGTTAATGAGCTGCAAGCGCTCAGTTCAGCTCACCTCTTTGCAACACCTCTGCGGTGGCCTGGGGTCAAAGTGGGCAGCGAGGGCCACTAGCCAATTTCTGAAACAGGAAGAAGTAGGAAGTGAGGCTTTCCTGGCTGCAAGAAAGCATTCACCAGCCAGCCCTAAGCATTCCTGGCCACAATCACGTGGACGGTTCCGGGCAAGCGTTTCCTTTGTTCTTCCTCTTCAAGTACCATCACCACCCCAGTTGTGTTTATTGAAGCAGTTGGCTTTCATCCAACTCTTAGCCTCGACAGATGAGAAATCAAGGAACGGGGAAACTCCCTGTAATTCATGTTCCCTTAGTCAGTGTGAGGAAGGCCCAGCTCCAGTTTCACCCAGACGCAGAGAGGGGTGGGGTGTCTTTGGGAAGTCTCCAAGCACCTCTGAGGTGGTCCGTCCCACCCTACACCTATTCCTCCCCTGCCTTCATGTGAGCCTCCAGACCTTAAGGTCATGGTCATCGTGGTCCATGCACCCCATGCAGGTGTCGTCTCTGCAGAGCTCAGCCTGGCGCCGCGTATTTCTGAGCTTGCCGCTTTCCCTGGCCCGCCTTCCTGAGTGCTTTCTCTCACTCAGGTCATTTCGCAGTTTTGACTCAAAGCCTGGAACTTGCTCACGCAGGGGTGGAGGCGTGGTGGGAGGAGGGCGAGATTGGCGGCCCCGCATGGTTTCTGGTGGTGCCTCAGCACACAGCCCTGGGACTATGTCATTTTGATTTCTAAACAGAAACCCCTTTAGAAAGACAATACCTGGTTGCCATGCTGTCACACGGACTTTAGCCTGGTATGCACTGGGCTTGAGAAATCAGCTAACTGATTGCAGTTTAAAAAAACCAACAAACAAGCATGTGTTGATAGGGGTCATTTTCTAGCAGTTCTTTAAACTTGTTTAGCAGGAAGTATTTTCCTCCAAGGTAACGTAGCATGCTTTTTAAAGGAAGGATGTTAACGTGTCTGGGATCGGGAAAAATAGGATTAAAATTGTGCCAAACAAGTCCAGTCAAAAACTCCACATTTAACTGAAATAGGCAGTCTGAAGGTGTGAGTTTACGTAGCATTGCCCAGAGAATTAATATAAGAAGGTCACAGTTCAGTTACTCATTCTTGCCACCTCTCAATTCTTTGTCATTTCTCAATCACAAGTGAATAATGCCATTCATTCATTCACTCACTCACTCTCTCATTAGTAGATGGTCTGTTCATTCAACATGGAAGCTCTGCGTCAGGCACTGCAGCTGTGGCAGGGGTAGGAATCTGACCGGTCATGACTACATCCTGAATCTTAACACTGGGCGGGCTTACACTGAACCTGGCCTCTAAGGGACAGCACGTGCTGTGTGTGAATGGCTCTGCGGCGAAACCTTTCATGGTCAGGGTCGACACCGCATCTGGATCTTCTCCGAATCACTATAAAAAGCCTCTACCGTAAACAAGACTCTTGTTTCCCCAAACCTCTCTCATTTTGTGGTTCTCTGAGAAAGGGCTTTTAGGGATCTTTATGTTCTGAAAATGAAAAAATAAAATGAATATTTAGAAAACCTGTGAATCTTACGTCCCCACTGGCATTCCTCAGCAGGAGCCTCCATCTGCCATGATCCTGCTAATTCAAGGGCTCGTTCTTCCAGGATGCGTGCGTGCGTGCGTGCGTGCGTGGCTTCCCTACACCACTCTGCCATCAGTCACAGGATGCACCTGATTTCCCCATCCAATCGTGTTTTTGCTTTAACTGCCATACGGTGTTTGGAATTTATCAACTTAAGAAAGTCTCTGTTTTACGTACAAACAGTTTCTCACTTCTGGGGAGAAGGGACTGAAAAGCACTAGGTTCTCCTGCTTCCCGGAACCATCTGGATGGCACCGAGACAGTGACAAGAAGCGACACCGCATTCCTGAAAATGCATCTGGCAACATTTTCTTGTGTGTGTATGCTATAGGAGCTGATCTTTACTATCCTGTTAGCTAACACTCTTCATTGCAACATTCGTGTCAATAAAGGCATTAATATCCAGCGCACAGAACTGTTGGAGAATCTTTAAGGGTACCTTAAACTTGGACATTCTTTCCCCCACCCCTTGCTCACTCCTCCCTCCCTCCTTTATTTTTTCTTCCTCCCCTCCCCTTCCCCTTCCATTCTCCTTATGACACGGCATTTATGAAGAGATCCATGTGAATTTTCCAAAAGTCATGTGGGGTAGAAAAAGAGAAACCTCTTAGCCCCAATTTACTGTCAAAAAGGCTATTTCTAGTTTCAACTAGTAAACACTGGGGTGCGGGACATGTGCCAGCAAATCCATTGCAGCGTGATGCCCCGTCTGGCAGGGAGAAGCTCGAAACCTTGGCAGAGCCTAGAGCATCTAGATACAAAAAGTGGGAAATAAGATGGGAAATGACCGTTCAGTCCTAAAGGCCATTTTGACGAGGCTCACCCAACCCATTTGGCGCAGTAAGCATAGTACGCAGGACCCACTATTATTTTAATATGTACTGATTTGTAGGCTTTTACATATTATTTACATTTTTAAATTTGAAAACCAGAAGGAAATACGTATATTTCCCTTTCTGCACCCCTCTTCCATAAAATCTATACAGAATTGACAAAAGTCTTCATTTGTCCCCATTAAGTTGAAAGAAAAAGGAAGACACAGGGTAAGGAACTAAATAAAACAAATGAGGCTTCAGAATTATGTTAGGAAAGACCTTTTCATGTGAAGTTAGCCTGTAAGAAATTCATTAAGTAAATCGTTTGGAAATCTCCTAATTTTTTGAGGAAAAATTCCCAGCTAAAAGCACATGAGTCTAGAAAACCTCTGGTTAGACTTTAAAGGAACCGTTATCTGCCCCAAAGCACACCCAGGTAACAGACTACAAAACTGAACCATAAGCAATGCAAAACATCAAACACCTTCTTCATTTATGGCCACAGAGAACAATGGACATGGGAGAATCCCCACCCCACCCCCGGCCCCCCAGAGTGGCCTTAAAGGCTAGTGAGAGGAAGGGAGTAGAATCACGGTCTAATCAAGACCACCCACTTAGCCCCAATGTAGAATATCTTTGCATTGGCTGCCCCATACTCTTTTTTTATTTGTTTTGAGGCGTTCCTTCTTGGTTTTTTTTTTTTTTCCCCGGTTGTTAGTGTTTTTTTTGTTGTCGGTCCTTACCCTTGTTGGCTTCCCGTTTAGGGGTTCGGTTTTTACCCACCGGTTGGTTTGGCGTTTCAACCCCCTTTTTTTCTTTTTTTGTGCTGTTGTAACAAATACCTAAAATAGATGGCTTTAACAGGTAAATACTTCATTTTATCACAGCGAGGAGGCTTCTGCCCACAAGGTTGGTGGTTAAACCCACCAGCTTCTCTATAGGAGAAAGATAAAGCTTTCTGCTCCTATAAAGATTTACAAACTTGGAAACCAACAGGAGCTGTTCTACCCTGCTCTATAGAGTCACTGTGAGTTGGAATCGACTCAAAGGCAGTGAGAGTTTTAGAAGGCCACAGGTCCAAATTCAGAACACTGTCTCCAGGGTAAGGCTCTCAGTTCTTGGGGAAGGTCCTCACATTCTGCTTCCTGGTTCCTTGGAGGTCTCCCTGGGTCTTGACTTATTTTACCTCCTTTGTATCTCAAAGAGATTAAATCAAGACACACCCTACACTAATCCTGCCTCATGAACATAACAAAACAAAACCTTCCCAAAGGTTTTGTAATCACAGACGCGGAGGTTAGGATTTGCAAAACCTAATTTGGGGGACCATATTCCATCCATAACACCAATCCAGCAGCTTTGAGGGAGAAAGACCTGACCATTTGCTTCCATAAAGATTCAAACTCAAGAGAGTTTGAATGCACTAATACTATAGAAACTATTTCACAATATGCAACTAAACAATATCCTACCAAACTCACTTTATGAAGCAAGTATGACTCTGATACCTAAGCCAGGCAAATAGAAGCGAATGTCCGTGATGAATATAGATGCCAAATTTTTCAACAAAATTCTAGCCAACAGAACTCAACAAAGCATCAAAAAGCAAACAAGTGAAAGACATGATCAAGTAGGATTCATACCAGGTATGCAAGGATGGTTTGATTTTAGAAAAACATTCAATGTGACCCAACATAAACAAAATAAAGGTTAAAAACATTATGATTATATAATCGATGCAGAAAGGCATTTAATAAAATTCAACAGCCACTCTTGATAATAGCACTCAACATATATATATATATCCATAGGGAAATAGATCTATGCCTATATATTTATATGTTAAGTATTAAGGTAGCAGATGGACATTAGATCTCACTACTCAAGTACTCTCTCACTGCAAGAACACTTTGTTCTAATAAGCCAGCATTCTGTGATGCTCACCTTCCCGACACAATCCCTGAAGACAAATGGGTGCATAAGCAAATGTGAAGAAAACTGATGGTGCCTCGCTATCAAAAGATATAGTGTCTGGAGTCTGTAAGGCTTGAAGATAAACAAGTGGCCATCTGGCTGAGAAGCAACAAAGCCCACATGGAAGAAGCACACTAGCCTGTGTGATCACAAGGTGTTGAAGGGATCAGATATCAGGCATCAAAGACCCAGAACAAAAAATCATATCAATATGAATGAGGGGGAGCATGAAGTAGAGACCCAAAGCCCATAAGAATTGAACATCCCCTTACAGAAGGGTCGCTGGGAAGAGACGAGCCAGTCAGGGTCCAGTATAGCACCGATGAAACGTCCAATTTGTCCCCCACTATCATGACCCCAATTCTACTTTACAACTCAGGCTAGACCAGAGCATGTACAAGGGTACAGATAAAAGCTCTGAAACACAGTGAATCCAGGACAGATAAACCCCTCAGGACCAATAATGAGAGTAGCGATTGATACCAGGAGGGGAAGGGGAAGGTGGGGAAAGAGAGGGGGAACTGATCACAATGATCTGCACATAAACCCCTTCCAGGGGGGAGGACAACAGAAAAGTGGGTGAAGGGAGGCATCAGTCAGGGTAAGACATGAAAAAAAAGATGATAAATTATCAAGGGTTCATGATGGAGGGAGGGTGGGGGAAAGGGGGAAATGAGTTGCTACCAAGGGCTCAAGCAGAAAGAAAATGGTTTGAAAATGTTCAGCATGTTTTCTTAACACCAGCAAAGGCAATAGCGGTCTTTTGAGTTGTGCCACAATATTAAAATGTATTTCGGGTAATCCTCCTACCTTTGGCGGGGAGACTCGCTAAAACATGTTGCCAACTTACCATTCGGAATCTACCATAGACTTTAGTCATTTAGTGCGGCTCCAAATAGAGAATGATTCTCTCACAGTTTAAGAGACTGGAAGTCTGAATTCCACAGGCAGCTCTGGGGGAGGCCTCTCTCTGTGTTCGCTCACGTTGAGGAGGAAGGCCCTCGTCTCCTTTCAGCAACTGTAGGCCGGCGTTCCTCGGAGATCTCCATGCCCTCCCCATCAGTCTTCGCTCGGTTCTGGGACCTTCACAGTGCAAAGACCCTGCGTCCTGGACACGCTGTACTCCTGGGAAGAGGAGCACCATGCTTCGTACCCAGTGACCACTTAACATGCACAGGAAAGGGATAAAGTGGAGTAGAATTGTTTCATATTTTTAAAAACAAGTAACAGGTGAACGAATTATGATTTGTTGGCATGGCGGCTCATAGTGGGGCTGCCCGTTGGAATCACCTGGGGACATGAAAAACCACTGATGTGTGGGGCTCACCCCCCAAGAAGATGGTTGATTGGTCTGAGGAGGAATAGGTTGGGCAGCGGATTTCTGGAAACTTCCCCTAGTGCTCTTATGCGCAGCCAGGGTTGAGAGCCACTGGTTCTATAGCTCACAGACAGAATTTGTGTCTTGGATCTCTTGGCAGGGGTTCTTAAATCAAATTTCCTTTATTTGAGTCCAGTTTCACCACTGACTCACGTGGTGACCGTGGGCCAGTATTTTAATCTCTCCAAGCTTCTGTCGGTCTTTTTATGAAACGGGGCTAATGGTGTCTCGTAGGGTGGTCAGTATTTAGTAAGAACATGCGTGGAAAGCCTGGAGCAGAGTCCTCGCACATGGAGACCAACACATGGTTATTTACCATGATGAACTGTGATCCAGCCCTGCTAGTTCCAGGGCACAGGCCAGAGCTGGCATATGAGAGTCAGCTCTTGTGGGTAAATACCGCAGGGACCCGGTCCTTAATCAAGCCCTTTGTTTCTTCTCACGCACCACGCCACGTCCCCTTTTCTATCGGAGCACTTCCTGTCCAATACAAACGTACCTCGGGCACCTTTGGGATGAAGGAACTAACATCTTCAGACGCCTCTTCAGGTTCACGTACTTGGCACTGAGTCGGGGAAAGGCAGGGGAGGCAACCGCCTGCTCGGCTGGTTTGGAAGTCAGAGGCCTTGTGCCGTTTCTTTGAACTTGGCAGAACGGCCTTTCAACGTGAGCTCTCTGGAGGGTCGCCCTTGGCTGCTGTGAAGTCCATTCTGACTCACGGCCACTCCGTGTGCACAGAGGAAAACCGTTCCATAGCTGTAGTCTCACCCAAAGTGGCAACTCCCAAGGGAGACGCGGTTTGGAGGGTGGCGCGGCCCCACGTGAGGAGCTGGAGGGCCATGGTCTCAGAGTTTTCACATTCTTCTTTTGCACTGATGAGTTACCCAGCTATGTAACGCCATTCTCTGTGCCGGCACTCAATCCCAGTTCACGGCTGTTTCTCTACACTCTAGCAATAGTCCCTGAGGGGACTTTCTAAGGGACAGAGTGCACAGGGCATGCATTTTTACAAAATTACAGAAAAGGGAGTCACAATGATCTGCATAGAACCCCCTCCCTGGGGGACGGACAACAGAAAAGTGGGTGAAGGGAGATGTCGGACAGTGTAAGATATGACAAAATAATAATTTATAAATTATCAAGGGTTCATGAGGGAGGGGGCAAATGAGAAGCTGCTAGTAAGGGCTCAAGTAGATGTTTTGAGAATGGTGCGGGTAATGAATGTACAAATGTGCTTGACACA